GGTCTGTAAATTTTTTTCAACATTTCATGTAGGGAGGGGCAGACTATACAAAAACATTTTATAGATGGTGCCATAAGTTGACAATGGCATTCAGAGGGTTGACTATCATGGAGTCAGTGCCATGTGGATAAGTAATATATACACTAGAGCACATAATGTATTCTGAATAAGAAACTGTTGATTTTGATATCAGTTTTCAAATTAAAATATTGACAATTCTGAATTAATACCTGTACATCTAAGTTCCTAAATTTTGTATTGTTTTTTTTATGAACAAAAGTTCGAAAGAGAAATTGTCAATGTTGTTTTACCAATACATGTAGAGTAAAAGATGTAGTGAATTATTTTCAAGGCCATAGTAGTTTAAATCCCCTGAGATAACTAATTTACATAAATGTTCAGCCATCTCATATTAAAGGCACATACATATATTTTTTTATACTATGATATTTTCAATATTTTATTGTAATAGACATTCATGATATTTCACTTAGAATTGTGTAATTTTAAGAAGAGATCAAAATGTTTAATTATTCAGCGAATTTACTTATTGATTGCAGGATCCATGTTCATTTCCCCCATTAAAATGCATTTGTGCTTATGCGTGCAAGCGAACCCTTTCGCCTGCCACTTGTAATGCTGTTTACTATGACAGCAGATTCAATTTGAGAATTTGTTTCCAAGTGAGGTTGGTTACTATGCTTTTGCTCGTCTTTTGCTTCATCATTGTATGATCCTTTCTATCAACAAAAATGTTTATGTTTAGTTTCATGTTTCCAACTGCCCTTTTTCACCGGGTACAGATGGCATGTATGTAAGCCACTGCTACCGTTGTAAGCATTACATTCCTGTTTTACCTGCCAAAACTCTCGTTATTTGTTCTCATTGTATCTAGATAGCAGAGTATAACTTGCATAAACAAAAAATGTTGGAGTTATTTTGTTTTAGGTAGTACCATAAAATCTGTATTAGAAGCCGGATTCCTAATATAAGTCGCACCCATGCTTTTTGAACAATTGAGAACCACAATTTCTCATTTGTGTAGATGTTCTAATAGAAGCAGCATCCTCCCTGTTGCATTGTTCCATTTTAATAGAAATCATGGCTTCTAATACAGATTTTACAGTATTATACTATTACCATTTTTTCCCATTCATTTTTGCTATCTGTGGGGAGGGAGGGGTGGCTTTTAGCAGGTAATGTGTAAATATATATACCACTGATATTTTACAATTGAGGTGTCACATGCCAGCCTGCATAAATTATTTAAAATTAACAGCAAACTAAAAGAATCATTGTTAAACACTTAACTTAACAAAGTTAACGAGTTCTTTTGGCCTTTCTTATAAATAGGTTTAAGGGATTTTTAATTAGGTTAATCTCAATACACATGTAGATCCCACACTCACTCAATTGAAAAGTAAAACAGTCAAAGCTGTCGATAGTGACCATATTTGGAATACAAAGTGAAGTTTATAAATAGGTATATAAATTTCACATCTCTATGTGAACAGTGACATCGTAACAATGGATTGGTCACTTAAACATGCCTTCATTGGAGATGTGCTTTCCATGGTAAAGACAAAAACGATATTTTATCTAACATGTAAGGCCAGTCGCAACCACAGGGGCTCTGTAACTTGCTAGGTTTGTCAGTTATTTAAAAGCGTCGACTCTGACAAACAAAGCGAGCTGACAAGCAAATGTGGTTGCAACAGGTGGCTACGAAATTAATCCATCCAGGTGATTGACCTGTAATAAATACAACTATTTTTTAATATGAAAGTATTATTTCTATTTGAATCACAGTGTCATGCTATGAGATTTAATGAGTTCAAAGGGTAACTATGTAATTAAAATTACTTTATTTTATTCACATATGATATAATCACACACCATATATAGCAGATAAATGTTGGATAAAGTGCGTAGATGTATTCCTATAACCTATATGTAAAATATACCCAATTAATATTCACAGGTGTACTGTCTAATTATAATACATTATGCGATCTCAGCAACACCCGCTACTCACGACATTCGTATTAATAAACAGTGGTGCACCATTTAATACATCAATGTCAGATCATTTTTGCGAAAAAAATATACTTGAAAAAGATAAAATAGTGTGTAGCCTTACCAAAGTGTTACACGTAGCTTATAACAGTACATGACAGACATGTACGACCAACGACATAAATTTGTCATTTTAAGTGAAAATAAATTAACGCCTCAGGTGCATGTAAAATAAATAATAGGATACGATATGTTTACTAATAGACGTACATATTTATGTAAGTGTGCGTTTTAACCCAACACATGCCTTTATCTGAATATACAATATACATCAATTTTGACAGTGAAAATGTGTCTGTTCCAATGAGGTTATCAGGAACGTCGCCTACAAGCATGACCGATCATTACCTGTCACATCGATATGTCACAGTGTATGATTTCCATATCAGTGGCGTTCTCGCTTTTATGTCTTCCGCTCGACTTATCACAAGAATTCATCACAAATTCAAATTATAATAGAAGTTAACAGGAAAAATTAAATTAATTTATTATTTGATAATAACGAAACAAAAATCAATATAATTAGCATTTTGAGCTGTTTAGATCAGTTGCCATGGTAATATTGACAGAGAAAACTCAATAGATCAATATGAATAGAAACTTGGCTTTGTCGCCTTGAGGACAAAGAAAATTACCTATAAATATAAAAGTTGTTTTTTTCGTTCATTTTTTTTCCAATGAGTTGTAGTGTAAAGTTATTTCTGGTACATAATCATGGTTTAACTACACATGAGAATAATGGCATCTACAGTAGTTAGAATTTTATAGTCACTAAACAGAATGACGTAAATGAAATAATTCTACAATATTATGAGATTATTCTGAGGATGCCGCAAAGTATGCACGAAATCAGTACAGCAGGAGTATCTGCGTAGTGATGGAGGTTGATGTGGCTATGTACTGGCTGAGTGAATACTTTGCGATATCTTTAAAATAACCTTAATATTATACACCTTTGTGAACCAACCGCTAGATATTGGAAGCCCAAAACTTCTTTTTTCAAAAATGTCTGCCATCTTGGAAATATCCCATAATTGTTCCATATTTGGAATTCTCATTTCCTAATATGGTAGGATGTAGATACACCGTGCAATACTGCAAAATTACTGCAACCTGTAACTTACAGTGATACGGTGACGAATGTATTTTTTTCATAATTATTTAAACTTTTTATTTATTATAGAATTAATTAATTTACTATTTAATAAATTTAAAGAAAACTATATGTGTAAACACATGTGTATTGTAATTGCAGTAATTCAATCTTCTTGTAATTTCACTACACTATTATCTTCTATTATTTTCTTCCAATGTATGTGTACAGAGTAGCAACAGTCAAGCAGTTTTAATACCATAATATTTCTAGCAAAATACTATTGTCTATATTTTTCTATAATTTTTTTTAATTTTGGACATTCTCTTTCAAAGTGTACCGGTACATGTTTTTATCAAAATGTTTGAAAAAAAAATGGAGAAGTAGGTTTGTTTTGCTGCATCTTGACTTTGACATTCAAATAGTACTAGTAAATGGATACCACATGTCATTTTCAGTAATTGCTAAATCCACAAAAATTAAACACAGTGAATATTTATCTTTCTACAGTATCACTCCATTAGTGCATGTGATTTAATATTGAATACAGACGTCATCTACTACATATGTGTGAATATGCCCACCAAATGAAGCTAATACAATTCATATAATACCTCAACCTCTGGTTTCAATGTTTACATTTTCCCACAAAAATATTTTTACACCAGATAAGAACACATTCATGAATTAACTCCCTTTCTATGGCCTTAGCGTAGATATGGACATTAGCTTTAGATAAAGGGACATTCCATTAGCAATTTGTGTTACATCGACCACACCATTCAAGTATTTTCACCATGCAGTCCGTCATTTTCATCATGCGTAGACACGCAGAGTAAGCAAAGATAACTAAACTTGCAATTGTTTACAGAGATAAAATTACAATTATTTAACATTCATGGAATAATATGAAAAAGTAGCAGCTGCTTCAACAAGTCAGCTAAAGAATCATGCTAAATATATATTGAACTATGGTATATTTCTAGTTAGGAATTCTGATATTGGGCTACTGAGGGTATAATCAATAAAATATGTTTTATAGATTTTCTTACATTTTATCAGAATATATTGTTACACATTCATAACAACTTGTTAAATTCATCAAAACAGTACTACATTGTTAAACTCATTTTTTTTAATTTAATTACTACTCAAAATTCCAATAAATTTAAATGTTCTCTACTTACAATATTATTGTTAATTCAGGTATTTTTTTGTGGTTATGAATTTCCTGGAGGGGGGGGGGGGGTTCTTCGAAAAGAAAATTGCGCTTGTACGTCGGTGTTTCACCCAGGGGCCAAACTACTTAGCATACTGAACAGAGGAGGTCATGGGGTTCATTCATAGACCCGGAAATGTCAATAACAACAATAACCACATACATGGATTCTGTTTTGGTCTATATAATTTTAGACAGAAATTTGTGGTCATAGCCAACACAATGACGGTCGGAGACGTCGTTATAATACATAGGTATAGAGGGCCCCAACTCTTTGATTCACTATTCATACGCAAACGGTAATGTCTTCACTCGTCAAGCGCTCACATTGCGGGAGACAGGGCAACCAGTGATTTGTAACACTGACACTCGGCAAAAACTGCCAAAATACCCTGTATGAAATCGTAGGAAATAGGACAGTCGCTGACCATTAATGAACAATTGTGATCGGCACTACTATATACACGATAATGTAATCTGGACACGTTTTCACGATCAATTTTGGCCTCGACGAAGATGAATCGATTCTTTCTGCGGTCAGATCTCGGGATTTCGTAAATAAACACCGCTATTGGTCACAAATTATACAGCGCACAACGAGGCTGGACTTACCTGTGATTCTGTGAGTTTGAATAAACAATGATCAAGTGAGAAATCCGGGTGATATTAGGAAAAATATCATGTGATACTACTCTATTCGACGCGATCAACGACTGTCTACTACTGCTCAGCCGTATTACCCGAGAAATTCATTTATTTGATTGGCCGTGACGTCAGCATCGAACTGCTAAGCCGTGATTTGCTGTTAGAGGGCGCAATCAGCGAGATCATCAGGAGTCAAGCCCTCGTGTTATGGACAGGATAAGGATAAGAAAGATAAGAACAGTGGGTCGGATTATCTTATCTCTCATGGTATATATATATTTTCTGAATAATATATATCCGTCATTGCGACAATTACAATAATGGCTTCTTTTTTTCATAAAGGGCGGTTAAACAAACAATGTATTTTACACGCGTTGTGTTACGTCACCATGAATCCCATACCGAACAGAACGCGGCGCGACAACCACCGCCCTTTAAAAGAAATGGTGGCAAACTGTCTGGCAAGAATGAGTTGAGTTTTCCGTTTGTCGATCTCCTACGATGTATACTTTATAATGAAGCACACAGTTAGGATGGCAATTGTATTTAAATGCGCCAAGAATGGTTATCCAAATAGGAAAAAACAATGTAATTGCTCGGATGGCAAGTTTCAATTCAATGAGAGCGATGTTAGTATCAATGCCAATGCAATTGCACGGGACATAACATAAGGTAGTTCGTTGCTGTTAAAACAAAACAAAAAATTACCACAGTGAACCTTAAAAGTTGTTTGTGTGATGATTCACATACATGCAGAAAGTTTTTACGGAAAAAGAAGGATGTGTTTTCAAGAAAACATATGAAAAATAATCTAAAAGCGCCCATTTTGGTAAATTCTCCTTATGATTCCATGTAAACATTATTCTATGGATAACTAATATTCAAAATTCTCCCATTTTCATGACAGCCATATTTAGCCCTCATAACACTACATATCATTTTTTAGCATAGGTCACCGAACACAATTTTCAAATATGATGGAATGTTTCTGCCATAGAAACACATTTTTGATCAATTTTCGGGGTCGTTTTGGGAAATTTTAGTTCGGTGACCAGATTTTATTTTTTAGTGGTTGAAAAGTGCCATGACTCATATATTGTACCAACGCATTGTTTTTACAAGGCATGTGTAAGGTCACGTGATTGAATTAAAAACATATACTTCTACAACAGAAAGGACAGGATTTTACAAACTACTTTTGGCGGCCGCCCGGCTATCGAGTCGATCGTCACGGTGTAAGTACAACATAATCATTGGTATTAATTATTTAAAAACTACGTGAAACGATCAACATCATTCCTGTTTATAATTTAGTATACTCCATGTTTTAAAGCGGAGGAGTCGTCACCTGCGCATGCGTTAGGTGGTCATAGCGTGTCAATGTCTTCAAACAAGCGTCCACCCATGAGTCTTTGCGTTTTTAGCGTGTGCTGTTATCGTCACCTGGGACTCAATTCCCGCGCGTGCGCGGGTGACGACTCTCCCGCTTTAAGCAACAAAATGGACGAAAACATTTTCCATTTGTAAGTTCGCACCAAATTTGACAGTATAATAAAACGATGGTCGCGGTTCATTGATCACTACGGTACACTTCATTCAACTTGTATAAAATCACAGTAGTATTATAATTACAGGTGTAATGTATTTGAGTATGTTTAATCATTGGTGAATTTTGTATTTTATAAATGTTACTTTGTATTGTGATGATTACGTGAACTTTTTTGTGCTGTAGCTCTTAGTGACTTAATTTTGTATTTTCCAAAGTCAGTGTTGTATCCAAAACATAAAAATAATATAAAGGTGGATTTGGGCTGTGAATATTTTGGATTGTTTGATCAGAAGTATCACATGGTGGAGATTACCTTAATTACTGGTTTACCAGACGGACAGGTTCAAGCCAAAACTTGACATCATGTTTCTCCAGTCTGTGGCCCACTGTGTTTAAAACACATACCGCTGAGGGCGGCGTGAGCAAACCAGTAAGTCGGCGAGATATGTACACAAACTGGAAACTGAATCGATTGAACCGAGTATATATATATATATATTCATCATCATAGTAATCAGAAGACGTTTGGTCATTTTTATGTTTCACTTATGATAATCTAGCAGTACAAACTGTTTTAATTACTAATCCCGCAACAGTGCACCTTCAGCGAGGGGAGGGGCAGTTATTGGTCTCTTGGATGACGCTACACAAGCGGTATTGTGTATTGTGAGCAAAATTATTGAAAACATGTTAATGTATCAATTAAATAATGACAAGTCATGATCTAAAATAGAAGTGGCTGAGTGGAGTAAATAATCACCAACAAACCAGTTTGTTGAAGCATAGTTCGATAATTTAATGAACATGAAGGTAATTCTTATCATATCTCCCATAGAATGACTTAATGACTGAGAAAGGAGCATGTATTTGAAGTTCAAAAAATATTCGGATATTTATGCAGCATTGCCGTCCCCTGGTGCCGATTTAAAGGGTGGTGGTCGTCGCGCCGCGTCCTGTTCGACACGACACTCATAGTGACGTCACGGTAACAACGCGAGTAAAATGCACTGTTTGTTTACATGAAATTCTAACATGCGATGCGCAACGACCATGAGTTATCTGACAACTTACGTAACGCCACCGTTCCCTGTGCCGATTCGATTCCCGGCGCCAATGAAATCTCTGTAAACGCTGTCGATCCTATCTGTGCTGCCCCTGGTGCCGAACTAGTCCACTGTTTTGATAAAACCATAAAAAGTGTTAATCATGATTCTGGCAGAAATATGGTTCATGTAATTCATCACTCGTGTCAAAAAACAAACAAAAAACGATAGTCTGAAAAGGGGGAATGTAGCAAATCGCCTATACTACATATGCTGTAGTAGCGTTCACTGTCAGTTTGTTTCTGACTTGATGAGTCAACCAACTAGAAGCGCGCATTGGTAGTTGGTCAGACCAGAGTCAGATTTAGGAGTGAAGAAGACGAATTGCCGTGACTGAACAGTAACAAATAATAAATACCCAATGTACATGAAAGTGGGAAAAGGTGACGTTGGGTATATGTCACTTGAATTCAACTATAACAAGAAAACTGAAATTTAACCCCTGATTAAAAAAAAAAACAGTCCTTGAATGCAAGGTATTAATGAGTCCATAATATCTCAGACTTACATGTCGTTCAAACAAAACACACACAAAAACGAAACACGTATTTTGTTGTGGCAAAATAGTTATACCCCATCCAGATAGTCCACCCATACATACACATACAACGTAACTCCTAATGTTATGCGTCAGTTCCGTTTAAGTACAAAAATAAAATGATACCAACACAAACATTAAAATATATGCACACTAACCCAAGGAGTAAAACACCAGTAGAAAACAGCGATTTGTGATTTTCCCCAGAGAATAATGTAGAAGGTGAATATCGCTGTATCAAGACCTGTTATTTTCACAGCGAGCTATATCACGTAAAAAATCGGAGGAACAAAACAACACGTTAATGATTTTATAAAATCTTACAAAACAAATAACCTGGTAATAATGAGACAACACATAAGTGGTTGGAACCCCGTACAGTACGGTAAGTCATATGATAGTCGCATCCCGGTGAATGACAAAATCCGCCAACAGTTTTAGAGAGGTATTGGAATCGACTGAGAGGAAATGGAAATATACGGTTAAATAGAATATGTACTAGTAGTGTGATCATTCATGGTCATTTTCCCTCAATGCATGATATGATCTAGTTAATGATTTAACAATTACAATTTAACAACAGTACGTCAATGCTAATTACAAAGTTTATACCGCTGAAATCACTTGAAATCAGACAATTAATATGTTCAATCAATGTTATTTCGACACATCAATGGGATCATTGGGGGGGGGGGGGCTTCGTTCACGCTCCAACAAGTTATCTGTCCATTGAGTGGTAAGTAGGTCACTGTCATTTGTATGAATATTTATCAGTTACAAATGAAACTCTTCATGTTAAGTCTACATGTATCATTGGCTGTTTACTAACACGTATATTCTAAGAATAAATACATTATATATATTGAGTTTATTCGTGAATAAATTGCTTGTGTTTATTAGTCATTCACTGTCCTATCTAATTCCATGGTCTCACATACGATTCCGAGTGGATTGCACAGGGTCGTTTGTATTTGGTTGATTAAATCTCGGCCATTTTGTCATACGTTGGTGAAATGAGATATTTCCCCCCTGACAATGACATGCATATTGCAATTAGTACGTACATTTTTTACAGCAACAATACAATTGCTTGAAGCTAATTTAATAAAATTTAATCATTGAGTATTTAAAATTTACAATAGGATATGAACATGCATTGTCCCGACACAGATAGACAGGTGCCTATAACCATGTAATATTTTGTATTTATTTGTTCCACAGACTAGTAGTAGGCTTAGTTTGCACCAGACACCTTCATTCCGAACAAACATTTTCCCTCTGGTTTCTTTTGCATATATACATAAGTCCCAATGGCGGCAATTTAGACCGTTTTCTGCAGAATTTATACAGCAATACCTTAGTAGTTCGTTAAATCCCCGTGGTTGTGAAATCCACGCGAATTCAAGAGCACAGACTGGTTTTCTATGTTATTTTTACCACGAACTGTTCAAATTAAGTCAGCCAAATGTCAAGTTATTTTTTGTTAACGATCAGTTATGTCGTCGACTTTATCGTGGACCATACTCAGACTTGGAATACAACCCGTAGGAGGGTTTGCCTGAACATCATTTTCATATATCATAGCCCGAAGTATTAATCAATAAACAGTATCAAACAACACCATTACAAATATTCAAATCATGACTCAGACTATACGATTACCTACCACAATATTATATAAATTATTAAAAATATATGGTCTTGTCAAATTTTGCATCTTTAGATAATTGCGCAAAAATGAAATAAGTGATAATATCATTTATTTGTTTCCAAATGTTTATTTCATTCACATCTGCAGTAATACAAATGACGTCACCATATTCGCATACACCATGGCCAATCAAAATAAGTTAAACACGTAATTCACATTTCGACAGACGTGCGGATATCAAATCTCCATTGGGGGTCCAAGCGGTTTTCTATCATTAACGTTATCAGAGTTAATACCACCCACGCACAGTAATAATAACAATACAATATCCCATATCTGCACAAACTTGATTTGTAGCTATCGTCAAACATGATGAATGTGGCGACAGCGCGTAAGCACTCCTGTGTATTAAATGAGTCTGATTTTCGATGTGCATACGTCAAACATGTTCTGCAATCAGTTTTGTTGATTGTCAATGTTCCGCAATTCTACATCTCGTACTCCAACTACGGCCACATTTTACAGTATGACATCACTAGTTAGTATGCTAATTGATACGCACAGATTTGACCACAAACCTAACAAGACTCTGAATACGGTACTGGTCCTATCAACATGTACAGATGGTACAAATGTGTCGTTATATAAATGAGACGATGTTTCTTATATATTCTAATGCAATAAATATATTCTATATTTTGTAAATCTTGAAAACACTTTTATGTTTATATTAAAACATGATTTTTTGTAAACAATCTGTGTTTTAAGTAACCCTTCATAAAACAGTTATTTAGAAATGTTCTGTATAAATCGTGTTCGTACGAAATAAAGCCATATATTATTTTTTATTTACATAAATTGCTCTAATCTCGTCATTCAATGATATTGACAGAAAGTCTTGACTGTCCTAATGTCAAACAATCCAATGGTCACGGTACTTACTGAAAGTGCTTGAATGATCACGTGATTCAATGGTATTTACAACAAGATGAGTGTTATTAAAGTCGAGTAATGCAGTGGCATCCATAGAAAGCGCTCTTCACAGCTGTATTTTTCAAGCGTTAAAGAAACGTTTTGCAAACTATTTTAAAATATTTTTCAGAAACGTTTTTTTCAAACAACAAAAATGTGCCTGTTTTAAAAACGCTTTTAAAAAAAAATGTTCAGTGCGTTTTCAAAACGATTATTATGCGCGTCAATATTACAAACGTTTAATATGTGCTGTGGTTAATGTTGTTGGTGGTTCGAACACCTTCCGCCAACTTGAACTTTTTGAATAATTGAAATATCTCCTTGTCCGCAACTTCAGACGTTGCTACTTGACTAAAACTTCTCATTCTTAGCCAAGATGCAAGGTCCAATTTACAACAACGGTTTACAAAATATGCCACAGTTATTTGTAGCATATGAATGCAACTGTGGAAATTACACATGTGTGGCCGGCTTATAA